GCGGTCTGTTCGACTCCACATTTTGGCGCGTTCCGACACGACATTATGAAACGCGTCAAGCTTCAGCACACGATAAATTCAAAGTAATTCGGCAATTGTTTTTCCATGGAAAACTAAATAAAACTCACAATTAATAAATAAAATCAACGCCGATAGATGGAAGGTTTTCTCGAATTTAGAAAACATTCAACATGGGTATAAATATACCCGCGAAACGAGCCGATGCAAGCCACTTGCAATCAGGCGAATAAACTGTAACGATTCATCCTGGAGCCTACTCAAGGAGGAATACCGTGGAGGTTAATCCCGATTGATCTCTCGCCGTCTCCTCCAAGAGAACTCGAGGTGAAGAAGCCCTGGATTCTCCTTCCTCTGGACGTTCCACCGCCAGTAAGAGAGAGACCGCCGAGGAGCTGCCTTCAGCCTGGAGACCCAAGGATCGCCGGATCGACTCGCCGATCATCGTAGATCATCGGAGAGAGGAAGCCATCTCCATCGCAGAAGACGACAAATTCTGGGAGAGACTACAGAACACCAAGGCTACACAGACGGAGGAAACCCTAGACCGAGAGGAAACTAGCCTACTCTTCGCCGACAGGGTCTTGGGTCCAAGGAAGCTAACAAGAACGTATCCGCCGATCTATTGGAGGGAAAGACTCCTTTAGAGGAAAACAAACGGCCCTTTTCAGGGCCACCTAAACTTTATTCAAAATAAATACAAATATAAAATTTGTATAAATAATAAAATAAATATTATTCTTAAAAAGCTGTGAGAAATTTAATTCTCCACAAAATCTTCCTACAGTGACACGGCAAAGGTTAAGTAGACGACTGCGCATCGTGCTGCGCAAGAGGTTATTAACTTCTCTATTGTTGACTTTCATGAAAGTTGTTATTATAAGGAAGTGCGAAAGTATCTTGATAAAATACAGTAAATCTTAAGTTCATCGGTAAATATGTTTTGACCACAAATTTTTTCTTTGAATTAATGTTTTTTTAAATACTTTTTACATATTATTTTCTTTATACATAATTATGTATGGTAAAAAATTAAGGCTTTCCAGATAGCACAGAGAGTCCAAAAGAACTCGATTATATGTCACCAATTCTGAGTTTATTTCAAATGCAAAAAGAATTCTTTTCTAAAAATTCTAAAAAAAGGATTCTTTTTGCATCTGAAAATGAATGAATAATTGTTAGAACTGCAAATAAGGATAAGTTTTTAAAAAAGTTGTAATTCTGTTTTATTAAATCAGTGATGATTCGAGTGATTAATTTTTAGAAAGTATATATGTTCATTGTTCATAAAAACAGTCATTAGTTCTTAGAAGTGCGAGTAAGAATAAGTTTTTAAAAAGTTCATAATTCTTTTTACTTTAAAGACTGTATGTGATTTATTTTAATTTGCGTTAAAGTATATATATATATATATAAAAGTTAATACTTGTCAGCAGATATATATTTTATTTTGAAAATACATTAATTCTGTTTTTTATTTATGTTCGCGAGCGGACTTACCGCGGGGAGCGCAAAGTGTGAAGCGTCGTGAGCGCGAGTTCGAAGAAGAAAACGAAAGATGTAACGTTTATGACTAACACGTTTATTAAGCAATAAAGTATAACTATTTACAACACTGAGTATAAGGAACTTAATT